CGTCGTTGAGTTTTGAAGGCGTCGAGAGGATGATTGTGGAGCGATGGTCGGTGCAAAGGCGGCGCGATGAAAAACGGAGAGAGAGCGTTGATCAGTCCCCAGATAGCCGAGTCACGTAGGCGGCTGCATAGCAACAAGTTTAACGATAAATATCGTCGATAGCTTCACCTCAGGGCTATTAAAACTTTCTTCGACACATTCAGCCGATCTGACCTGAATTATTGCCGTAGACGTTACGCGACGGTGATTGCTTTGAACCGAGAGAACGCCTGCAGAAATCTCATATCATTAAAAATGAAATTGCTGAATTATACTTTTCAATCAATAGACAGTAAAGAGCGTAAAGCAAAACTATTGGGTCATAAGATCTTAAGAAGGATAGTTTATGAAGTCGCATCAAGGCGTTGCCATTGGTTTTTACTGCTTCTAGATGATAAGATGCTGATATGGACTCATTTTCTTTTGTTTCATTTCCGATTAAATGACGATACTGTTAACTCTCTTTAGTCTCTCTACATTGCTTCATTACACGATCTACGGATCTATAGTACGAGACTCATTACAATACACGCACGACAGAGCCCTGGGCTCTGTTTGCAATGGAGATTGTCTCTTTTTTATTTTAATACCTCTAAATCCGGGGAATAAATTCAAAACGCCTTCAATTTTGTGGATGCAACGCGGACATCCTTCGAGGATGAATAGTAGTATCAAGGCGTTGTCATAGTTTTTTAACGCCTCGACATAATAAGATACCGATATTAACTCATTGTCGATTGTTTTTTCTGTTTTAAATTAAAAAATACCTAGGTTTGACGTATTCTAACTCGCATTATGGAACTACCTTAAAAAAGATTAGTATCAATGTGTAAAATATGCTCCCTATGAATGAAAAACTATCAGGAATTGAGCGTGCTTCGTTACGCTGTGTTAGTTATCTACTCGATCGATCTTCGGCAACGATATTTTCAATACAAAAGTCATTGCATGTGCTTGGTAGTGTGGGTGGTGTTGTGATAATGATTTCGAACACTGTAATAAGGATTCAATTATTTTAAATACGTGATTAATAACTGGGTCATGCCTTTTGCCGCGACTGCAGCGTGAATATACTAACGTTTGAGGAAAAAAGGTAACTCAATAATTGAGCTCTGTTTATTCCCCTTCAGAGAGAGAAGCACCCTCCTCCTCTAAATCCTCAAGTAAAAGAGAGCATTCTTCATATTCAGCCTCCAGTCAGCGACCTCGATAAAAATAGGTTAGAGCCCTCGTTTCGAAATCATAGAACGAGGACTGTTTCTCGCAACTTGAAAACCGGATATGGATCATAGTCAACTGATATTAGATTTCCCCGCAGAAAGCGTGCCTTTTGTTTGTTGGTTTCTGCCCGGGAATAAAGCCGTTACCTTCGCTGCGAGAGAGGCAAAGTTTCTCAAAGGACTTGAAAAAGTGCACTTTTCTTTCACGATGAAAAGACGAGGGATTTTTCAGCCGCCTTTGCCGCCGCACCGATGTTGAAACAAGGAAGTGTTAATTTAATACTCATCGGCGGGCCGCGCCGCGCGATCATTCAGGAAACCCCTCGAAAAATCGCGAATTGCATGCATAATTCCATAGTTTGTGGCAACACTGTTAGGCCGATTCATTTCCTCCCCGACCCCACCTTAAAACGAACTTTAAAGAGAAGAATAGACTAGAAGAGAGACGCGAGGGATGGGGGAGGGTGGAACGAGCGGGGGCGGGGGGTGGCGGCGCAGAAATGTTGAGGTATAGATACCCTTAATAAGAAGGCGGGCGGGGCTTCACCTAGGAAAGTATTCCGCAACATTGTTTACAACTATGTCATAACTAAGTTCTCTAAACTGACTTGGCTTTGCCAAACAAGAGTGGCGGATGGAAAAGTTGAATCGGAGCCGCGCTTCTTCGAGCGTCGACGGGCGACGCGACGGGCGCGGGCGGGTTAAGAATTGAATAAAACGGGAGAGCTGTCAGCCAGGACTAATGATTGGTTTTCAACTTCGTCAATGCTCAATAATCTCTCATCCGCCCGAGCTCAAGTCGACCGAGAATTTGGAATTTCGAGGCAAAGGAGCGACTTAAAAGAAACGCATTGCATTTAAATCTCACGGCGGAAGGGCGGTGCGGTGGCTGGACAAGGAAGAAAAGTAATAATTATTCACTTCCGTCACTTCCTTTCGATGATTTTTCTTACGAATTTTTAGAAGTTGGTGTTGGGATTTAAGATTTATTCCTCTGACTCGGAGGTTTTACTTTTGTTTTTTGAGAGGGTTGAATACGCTGTGATGCGGGATGAATATCCAAAAAAGATGACGAATAAATCCGGGGGAAAAATTCAAAACGCCTTCAATTTTATGGATGCAACGCGGACATCCTTCGAGGTTGAATAGTTGTATCAAGGCGTTGTCAAAGTTTTTCAACGCCTCGACATAAGAAGATACTGCTATGTACTCATTGTCGATTGTTTTTTCTGTTTTAAATTAAATAATACCCAGGTTTGACGAATTCTAACTCGACGAAAAAGATGACGAATGGAGATTTTTCAGGTGTCTGAAATTTGATGAATTTCGTCTTTAAGCGGAAACTACTGGGTGAACTGAACACGAGGTTACCCTTGGTTCATGAATTGAACAATTGCTGGAAAAGATATGACAAAATGATCTAAGCTGCAAAAATACGTGGGTTTAAGTGGGCAATGCCGTCAGATGACGTCACTAGGCGGTGCATTTTCTCACTTTTAAATCTATTTTTATACTATTTCCCATAACAGCAAAAGATTGTAAAAAATGCTGTGAAATCAGCTCTTTAAGCAGTTTCAGATGAATCATAAAAAATTTGCATCCGAATTCTCCATTCAATCCATATCGAGAGAAATATTAGTTTGCATGACCGAAATTCTGGTTGTGACCCGGAACCAGATTTATATACGCGGAAAAAAAAACTGCTGATTTAAAAATTAAATTGCTGAAAAATATGTCCGACATTCTTGGAATGTACGTTTCACAATAGTGGAAAGCTAATTTAACAACGGAGGTGATTAAATTTGCTTCATTGTAAAATCCGCATAGAAACATGCCGGACACTTTTTTTAACTACGAAATTGTTAAATCAACAATTTCATTTTTTTCTGTGTAGTTCATCAATCCGCAAAATTACGGTTGACTTGAACATTTAGACCAAATGCAAATTTGGTTGACGCATTCGTAATTTCACTTGAATCAAGGCGAAAAAGTTGGACATATTAATGCTGAAAGGAACTATATTGGTGTGGGTAAGATTGGGTGTGCTCGTGAAAGCTGCACAAGAAACAATGTAAAAGTAGGCGTGATTTCTTTAGGCAAAATGGGAAGGTGAGATTTGAAATTAAATCAAAAGAAACTAAGCGCCAATACATGCTAACAATTGTGAGCCGTGGGCATGTTATAACAGCGTGGTGGACAGGGCTCATGAGTGAAAGAGGGTCAACTTCAATGTCCTTGTCCCGGTCGTCAACGCTGACGTCACTGGCGCTTTATAATTCCTATGCATTCTTACGTCGTCAACTAACGAGCACAATCCTTCGTCCCCTCCCACCTCTCGTTCCTCTTAGCATAAAAACGTGTGTTAGTTCCAAAATATTACCATGATTGTGGAAGAGCATACTAACGTTTTTTCTTAGTTTGCCTCTAGTTTTCCAATCAAAGATAAAGCCAAGCAATTGTTAAAAAATGAGACAGAATCCAATTTTATTAGCCCTAAAGTACTTCAAAGTTTCATATCCGTCTGTTTCCCACCAAAGATATTCCGAACTGTAAGATGAGCATAGTCGCGCTGCTTGGTGCATGGCGCGAAGAATATCTCATGACCTGCGGGAGTCTTCCACGTTACCACCTAAAACTTCAGGCAATGCAAAAATTTCAGTATGTTTGCTCCTCACGAGAACAGCGAACTGTCTGAGGAAGGCTAATCCTCGCGATGACCGAGGCACGGAAACGTCGAGTGACAAAAAAGGCTTGCCCAGACGTTGGAACGGATTAACACGATTACAAGCTGCACCCTTGTCACACGTGCAAAATAGCAATGTCTGTGAATAACTTGAGTTTGAACACGTCGGGACTTTCGCGGGTTTTTGCTTTCTGTTTTTGCGGGCTTTGGCCATAAATGCATGCTATAGCGTCATTTCTCGCACGAAGGAACTTAACTCCATTCCGAGATTGCAAAACTGACCTAAGCAATTCAATGTTCTACAAGAATGTACCTGTGCAATTTTTTCCAGAATTTGTCTGATTTTTGCACGAGCTTGAAGGAAAAATCAGTGAAATTTTCAGTTGGAAACGCCTACGATTCCCCGGGTAAAAATACAATTTTCGAAGGGAAATTTAGCAACATAGATATGTAGTTACGTTCTTTCGTAAAAGAAACGAGAATATTCGAAGTGACGTACTATGCCAGCTATGACAGAGGACATGACAATAAACGCTCGCGCACTGAACATACATACATTCATATTGAGATGGAATAGATATTGCGGAGAACAGATAAAGTAATCGTTTAACTTTATCCTTGACATTGAGCCTCGTGGAGGAATAAAACTTCGAGCCTACTTTTCTGTTTGAACTCGATGCTATACGGTGCATTTCCTGTAAACTCGGTCTAAGTACCATTGGTTTTCCCATGCAGATAGGTCAGAGATAGGCAAGCGAGAAATAGTAATTCCAAATTGCAGAATGTGTTACAAGCAGTGGGAGGAGAAGGCGACTTGAAAGAGTGATTATTCTTGCTTCCTCTCTCCTTATCATTTTAATAACTTTTGACACAACTGACACAACAATCTTCGAAGCCCGAGATTCTGGAGAAGGGGGCTTCTTTCCAACATTGCATCGAATCTTCTGGCCACTACCATTATTTTTTTTATTTTTTGCAACCTCTTAAATGAAGGAAACAAGCAAGACTATGAAAAAAAAATGAACAAAATAAAGAGTAATACCAAATCGGTAACTTACTTTCTTTATACTGCAGAACATTTGGATGCTTTTCATGTATCACAACGCACCGAAAACAGTTTTCCGATCTGGAAAAAAAACGAAAAATTAAATTTACGCATAATTTTTAAAAATTCATCAAGACAGATAGTAGCATATTTTGATTTTCTGGGGCCCACAAAAGGCTAGGATGAGGATGATAAATTTATTGCATACTTCGCTAAGCGTTTTTGAGTTTCAGCTGAAACTTAATTCGAAAAAAGTGCGGGGGAAAAAGGGCAACGTTGCGTTGGAGCATGTATATGGTGCTTCAGCGAACTCAGTGAATGGCACATGACCATTTTGAACTCATTTTCTAGTTGTGCTTGAACACAGCCGGTGACTGTTCTCTGAGTATCCTCACCACATTTAGCAGAAACTTCTTTGTGCCCAACAAATGCATTACGAGAGGTCAATTTTCCAAAATTTTCAGGACAGACTTTTAAAAACTTCCTTTGTACTACTATAGGAAGACTTATGCCCCTGCTGGAAAATGTGAGGCAGTCCAGGCCACTCCTGAAAAGTTTCTCTGCAAATAGCCAAAACTCTTTGCACTTGCAGCAGGTTTCTCACAAATTGCTCCCCCGCGCCACTAAAAATGCGCCTCCTTTTCCCAGCGAAACAGGCACGGGAAGACATCAAAACAGTAGGCATTACCGAAGTATCCCGGAGACTCTGTGCTTGCTGACCTTAACTGAAAAAGGTCGAAACAGGAGTCTTGCTATTTGGACGCGCCTAAATCTTTTATGAGACGCTCACATACGTTAGAGACGGTCAGCGCAGCGGCTCTTGAAGTTCACCTTATAATCTCCACGACACACGCTTAAACGGGTCGCGTAACCTTTAGCTCTCGCTCAACTTTTAAAAAATGTAAATTGAGTCGCTTGGCTTTATGTCCTCTGGAGTTGCGACGTCGCGGAGGAATGGCCACACCTGGGCGCGGAAACGCATCGGAAATCCGGGCGCGGAGGAGCGAGCAGGCAACGGAGGGGTCGAGACGAGCCAAACACCTTTATTTATTTGCGAGGGCGGGGATAGTTTGAGCGCGGGAAACTGGGGAAAAAATACGAAAATATGAAGTTAAAGGGAGAGCTAATGACCCACTGGAGGGTAATAAAACAAGATTCCGTTCGTGAAAAGCGTTTAACGGACCCTCTTTCGACCCCCCCTGCCCTCCGGCCGGCCCCCTGTTGACGACCGTCGTGCAGTATTTAGCTTCCAGTTACGTCAACTTGCCCCGGCTGTCTGCACTCTTAGACTGCTCCTCCGCCCTGGACAGGATCCACCGGAACATTCCCAAAGACAAACTGTCTCTCAACTTGAAAGGACGCCGTTTCAAACCCGTCCAACCTCCAAGTTTTGTCACATATGAATTCCGAATGAAATGTTGCTTCTCTTGATGATTAATGCATACACCACCTGGCCGATGATTCGAAAAGATATACAAAGCTATAGACAAAGAAGACAAAAGGGATGAGGCGTCCTATTGGTGGAAGCGGGTGATTGCAATGGACAAACTAACGGCAACCCACCAAAGACCCTATAGTTAGTCCATAGTCTTCTCCCTTGGCCTGTAGGAACCACCTATTTCAACAAACATGATCACTCCATTTTCTCTATTTCCCCTTCGTCTATAGCTTTGTCTATAAATTTCAATAATCAGCCCGCAGAAATATGTTGTCAAACGCAGCAAATAGTCAAATATTCTTACGTGCGTAAATCCTGATTATTTTGCACATTTCAGACAAAAACAATTATTTACTAGTGTACAGGAAATAATTAACTGTAAACATTTTTATCATACAATTGGACGTGTTTCTATCAGACGGAACTAAGCACCATTGGGGGAGGAATTGAGAGGGGGGCTTGGATTGGCAGTTGTTTCGGTACGCGATGCTCGTTCCGTCCTATACTCACAATGATTTTCCATGCGCTTAGTTCCGTTTGACAGAACGCGCTATTCGGGATTCTTAAATCCTCAAAAGGAACTCAATTTGGCGCTAAGTTCCGTTTAACAGAAATACGTCCAATTGTGAAGAGAAATCATAGATTTTTTTTTGAAAAATGACGTTCAGTAGATTTATATGTAGAAAATAAAGTATGGAAGGAAGTCTGCAACGCCGAAAATCAAGATACGCATTTCTGCAACTTCACCATCGTGATACCCAAGTATTATGCCATAGGATTTAGCCGCAATGCCAAGTATCCAAACATGTTCTTCTTGCATGAAATTGTTGCTTCGACTAAGTGATTCATGCACAAGTGTTAAACGTGTTAAAATCGTACACACTTTTCATTGAGTTTAATTCTTAAAAAAAGCAAACAAAAGAGAACCCTTGAGAGCTAAAGAGCCTCCCTTGTCGCATCCAAATCGTGCAGAACGCTCTTTATTTCGTCGTCTCTTGGAGGTGAGAACGTAACTCCATTCCAAGGTTGCAAAATTGACTCAAACAATTGATTTATTTTGAAAAAATGCACCTGCTCAATTTTTATCGAAAACTTTCCTGATTTTTGCATGAAATCGACGAAAAATCATTGAAATTCTCTGTTAGAAATGTCCAGGATTTTTTCGGATGATATGCAATTTGCGAGGGGTAATTGGGCAACACTGAAATGGAGTTACGCTCTTTCGTGAGGGGACGACGATTTGGACCGCGTTTAGCAGAGAGGAACCAAGNGCCTAAATCTTTTATGAGACGCTCACATACGTTAGAGACGGTCAGCGCAGCGGCTCTTGAAGTTCACCTTATAATCTCCGCGACACACGCTTAAACGGGTCGCGTAACCTTTAGCTCTCGCTCAACTTTTAAAAAATGTAAATTGAGTCGCTTGGCTTTATGTCCCTTGGAGTTGCGACGTCGCGGAGGAATGGCCACACCTGGGCGCGGAAACGCATCGGAAACCCGGGAGCGGAGGAGCAAGCAGGCAACGGAGGGGTCGAGACGAGCCAAACACCTTTATTTATTTGCGAGGGCGGGGATAGTTTGAGCGCGGGAAACTGGGGAAAAAATACGAAAATATGAAGTTAAAGGGAGAGCTAATGACCCACTGGAGGGTAATAAAACAAGATTCCGTTCGTGAAAAGCGTTTAACGGACCCTCTTTCGACCCCCCTGCCCTCCGGCCGGCCCCCTGTTGACGACCGTCGTGCAGTATTTAGCTTCCAGTTACGTCAACTTGCCCCGGCTGTCTGCACTCTTAGACTGCTCCTCCGCCCTGGACAGGATCCACCCGAACATTCCCAAAGACAAACTGTCTCTCAACTTGAAAGGACGCCGTTTCAGACGCGTCCAACCTCCAAGTTTTGTCACATATGAATTCCGAATGAAATGTTGCCTCTGATAATTAATGAATACACCTACCGGCCAATTCTTGAAATTGATAGACAAAGATAAAGATAAACTATAGATAAAGAAGACGAAAGGGATGAGGCATCCTAATGGTGGAAGCGGGTGGTTGCAATGGACAAACTAACGGAAACCCACCAGAGACCATACAGTTAGTCCATAGTTTTCTCCCTTGGCCTGTAGGAACCACCTGTTTCAACCAACAGGATCGCTCCATTTTCTCTATTTCCCCTTCGTCTATAGCTTTGTCTATATATTTCAATGATCAGCCCGCAGAAATATGCTGTCAAACGCAGCAAATAGTCAAATATTTCTACGTCCGTAAATCCTGATTATTTTGCAAATTTCAGAAAAAAATAAGTATTTACTCGTGTACAGGAAATAATTAGCTGTTAACATTTATATCATACAGTTGGACGTATTTCTATCAGACGGAACTAAGCGCCATCGGGGGAGGAAGAAAGAGGGGGGCTTGGATTGGCAGGTGTGGCGGAACGCGATGCCAGTCCTATAGGTACTCGCAATGCTTTTCCATGCGCTTAGTTCCGTTTGACAGGACGCGCTATCCGGGATTCTTATATCCTTAAAAGGAACTCAATTTGGCGCTTGGTTTCGTTTTAAAGAAATACGTCCAATTGTGAAGGAAAATCATAACATTTTTTGAAAAGTGAGGTTCCGTAGATTTCCATGTAGAAAATAAAGTATGGCAGGAAGTCTGCAACGCCGAAAACCAAGATACACATTTCTGCAACATCACCATCGTAATATCCAAGTATTATACCATAGGCTTTAGCCGCAATGCCAAGAGTATCCAAACATGTTCTTCTTGCATGAAACTGTTGCTTCGACTAAGTGATTCATGCACAAGTGTTAAACGTGTTAAAATCGTACACACGTTTCATTGAGTTTAATTCTTAAAAAAAAGCAAACAAAAGAGAACCCTTGAGAGCTAAAGAGCCTCCCTTGTCGCATCCAAATTGTGCAAAATGCTCTTCATTTCGTCGTCTCTCGGAGGTTGGAACGTAACTCCATTCCAAGGTTGCAAAATTGACACAAACAATTGATTTATTATACAAAAATGTACTCGTTCAATTTTTATCAAAAACTTTCCTGATTTTTGCATGAAATCGAGGAAAAATCATTGAAATTTTCAGTTAGAAATGTCCAGGATTCTCTTGGATAATATGCAATTTGCGAGGAAAAATTTGGCAACACTGAAATAAAGTTACGCTCTTCCATGAGAAAACGAAGATTTGGACCGCGTTTAGCAGAAAGGAACCAAGCCACATTAGTTATTGTCAAATTAACTAGGGAATTTAATTTTTTACGAGAGGACGTTTGTACGAATTCCTTTGAAAATTTTAAGGAATTTGCTTCGCACTATGCAGAAAATTCACTGAACTTTGCACAAAAATCCGCACAACCGGTTTCAGGTAAAAAATTAAATTGCCCAGTTTTTGGCAAAAGCTGATGTGGCTTTGATCTTTTCTGCTTAACGCGTTCCATTTGTCCTAGGTGTCTTAATATGCCTTTCTTGATAATACTCGATGCTTCGTTAGAAATCTCGCAGCGCTTTCGCTGTTGGGCAACTGGGGGCTCCTCGAAAATCGTGGCGCGGCAGGAGCTCCACTCAAGTTTTTGCGCGGAAACGACTTGACGAACTTGTGGTGTGTGTGGCTCTCTCGGAGCTCGGAGAGGGTTCGG